TCTCTCTCTCTCTCTCTCTCTCTCTCTCTCTCTCTCTCTCTCACACACACACACACACACACACACACACACACACACTCCCCTCCCCAAGCTTCAGATCGCTGCCGACTTTAAACGCACCAGCCAGCCCAGGGCACACGTTCATTACCAGCAGCCAGCAGTACAAGAGGTGAACATTTTGCCACAACCTGTACTTTACACACAAGTACACCAAACACACGGGGAAAGCAACATGGCTTGAAATTCCTATGAAGGCGCAAGAGTCACCTGGACCAATGACAATCCTTAGATGAGCAACGTGGTGATAACCACATCTTCACAGAAATCGTATAAAGTAAAAGGAATCATCAGTATACAGACTACAGTCCTGACAATTCTAACCCAGTGGTCACAGGTCCAGAGACCAGGGACAGAGGGGGTTCAAGGCGATGGGTGAGGAAGCCCATCCGGTAAGGAGGGAATGGAGACTCACCGCCCTAGGCACGAGGTGGGGGCTCTCTGAGTCCTCGGCCCCACTGCTCAGAATGGCACGGGGCAAGCTGGACACCCACCTGGAGCACTGTGCATGGAGCCCACACTCACCAGCACGCACTTGCCCGGCTCCAGGCTCCAGAGGGAGCTCTCGGTGTTGATCTTGTGGGTGAGCTTCCCTTCCATGAGGACGCGCTCCCTGCCCTCCTCCAACATGGCCACGCGGATGGAGCTACTGCTGAGGGCCACCGAGACCTGCAGACAAGCAGAAGAAAATCACATCTGTAAGGGTGGCTGCCAGCTGCTGGGCAGCGGTAGGCACACTTATTTTGAGGACCTGCCCATAAACTTCTGTGGGGCTTGGAAGGCATCTGAGTGAAGGAAGCCATTCCAACCTGCTCCACACCCACAGCCACCTGCACACGTCAGCTCCCCCAGGACACGGCACACATTCCAAAATCCACACAGACATCTTCTAAAAGTTGTTTTATAACGCAGAAGTCTTTACAATAGCATATCCCTTGTGCAAAATGCTTGGGGGCAGAAGTGTTCCAGATGTGAGGAGTTTTTCAGATTTTGGAATATTTGCATAGACTTTACTGGTTAAGTCTCCTGAAACTGAAAATCAGAAATCTAAAAATTCTGGGATCAGGGATGTTCAATGTGTACTTGCATAGTGTACATATTAAATATTGAAAGTACTTAAAAAGTTTTTTCTCATAGGCCTGGGAAATTAATTTAGAAGCTACTTGGTACCTGGTTCATTAAATGTTTATACAATTTCTGGGAGAAAACCCTCACAGATACAGAATTTTCCAAGTGGAGTTTAGTATTTGCCAACAGAATCTGATATTGTAAGCTGAGTGCCTGCATGCAAGCTTTGCTCCATTAGACACTTCGAGTCCTGTGTGGCAGCTGGGAAAGGAGGTGACAGAGGACTGCCCAGAGGACCAGTGACCCCTCACATACCTGGGGCAGGGAGAACTCTCCACCTGCCCAGGCTACACAGCCAGGTTCCATGAAGACTCAGCACACAGGCCACCTGTGCCGACTTCTTGGAGGAAAAAGTCTGCTGCCCTGGCTTTGCTGCCCACCTTCGAAAAGCAAAAGAAGCACAAGCAAACGTGACCCAGCTCGGCTCGCTGCCAGGTTGGCTCTAGACGGACGCTGGGCCCAACCAGTCTAACTGTGAACTTGTGTGTGTAGACCAACAGCTGACACCACTCAGGCTCCCCTGGCCTGGCCTCCCAAGAACAAGCTTGGTTTAACAAACTTCCCTGGCAGCTCTCCATGATACCATGATTTCCAAATCTGAGCAAGATTCTCACACGGCCTACCCAACAGAAGGAATGAAATCCTCACGGGAGAAAAGCAAGCGTTCCAGCTGAAAACATCACACCAGAAACAGGTGGTCATCTCTGATTTGCCACTGCAGAAATGACAGTAACAAAGAGAAAGACCCCACCCCAGACAGTGAAAGGGGGAGAAGTGAGCACGAAGGAGCAGATGAGACCTTAACTCTGGGGGGCACAGAAAGACTGGCACAGAAGACAAATCTCCCAGGGCAGGGGACACTTAGAGCCGCAGCAGGAAGCCCAACTGAAGACTGGCAGTTATGGAGGCAGAGGTGAGGCTAGGGCACAGAAAGGAACAGCCCAGAGCCAGTGCCTGGAACAGCTGCACCGTGGAAGCCCAGCCAAGGACAGGAACCCACTGTCTAACCCAGCCCTGCTCCAGAGACTGAGCAGCAGTCTGAGGGCCTGGCCTGGATGCCCAGGCCAAACTTACTCCAGCATGGGACAACCAAGGCCTCCCAGCCTGTAAAGAAAAGCTGTCATACCATGGAGGAACAGACCTCTGACACACAGGGAGGAAACGGCCAACACTGCCCCATACACAAGAAAATGGAACAATTAAAAAAGAAAAAATAGGAAACCAAGGGTTGGATCTTATTAAGAAAGCAAGCAGCATGAAAAGAGCGATGTAAAAACCAGAAACACAGACTACAGAGCTAATCAGGAAAAGACATACTTAAATATTTCCATTTTATATATCTTTCCAGAGAACTGTAAAGATATTGCTTCAATGGAAACAAGAGTAAACTATGAAAAAGCTATATGATCAAAGGAAAGAACCAAAATTCAATGTAGAAAATAAAATCAAAGAAATTAAAGTAAAGACAGAGCAATCAATCTGATATTCCAGAAATTATGGCATTAAGCAGCAAACTTCCCAGTGAGGAAAAAAATATCTTTGGGCTGAAAAGACCCACTGCGTGCTGAACAAAATGAATGAATGGTGACTGAAACGGACTCAAGTAATTTTACAACACCGAGTATTTAAAAAGATCCAAGGCATTCCAAGGAGGATGTAAAAAGGTTTACTCACAAAGCCCACAAAAGGATGAGGCTTCTAGAATCAGCAGCACCTGGGTTAAGAAGGCACGGGAAACCTGTGTTTAGCTTTCCAAGGGGAAAGCGGTCTTAGGACAGAATTCTACACACACGCAGCAAGGAAAGAAGTGCAACGTTAAAACAAACACACTTTAAGGCATAAAAGAACTCTGCATTTATCACATATCACTTTGATAACCCAAGAAGAAAGATCTCCAATTGGGGTCCCAAAATAAGTCTGTTTAACCCACACGTGTAGAAAAAATGCAAGGATGGTAGCCAGACAGCAGAGTTCCAGAATAATGAACCAGGCTGGAGTCAAAGAAAGTGATTTCTAGGCAATACCACTATTACTGCATCTGGATAACTCATGTTACAAGGAAAGTGCACTGCTTATGACAACATGAAAAAGACAGCAAAAACCCCAGGAAACCAGCATGGTGTCGAAACTCCTGATCCAATGGAATGCCAGTGAAATGGGAGTACTGTTGTAGTCAGGTTTTACAAATGAAACAACTGAACACAGGACACATACTTCAGAGGATTATTTTATCTTAACCTAAAGTGTCAAATGCAAAAGAGTGTGGGAGATCTGTCCACACACTAGAGCCCCAAAGAATCCAGCTGAGGGCCTGGATCCCACGGCAATGTCTTGAATGGTCCAGCTGAAGACGTAGAGCCCATGGCAATGTCCTCCACAAGTCCCACTGGAGGCCTTGAGTCCACAACAATGTCTTATGCAAGTCTGTGTCAAGGGTCTGTGCTGGAAAGGCCCCAAGATCAGTGGTGGAAGTTAGAACGTCTGTGCCAGTGAGATGAAGGATCTGTGCCTGCAGGCTGAGGGATCTGCACTGGAGCCAGGAAGCAACGCTCAAGGTGAGGACCAGAGTTCTCCTGAAGAGAATCACAGCCATCCTCAGAGATAGTGATGACCCGAGCTCCTCCAATGATGAGGACAGCTGAGTTCGTATCAGGAAAACCAGTGTGACAAGGTTCTCCAGGAGAATCAACAGCACACCATTTTCCCCTTCAGTTCTCTTTAGATGCTGTTGGCAACAATACTCAGGTGGGCCCTCCACACCCAATACCACGCTGAGTTCAGCTGGGTGTTCCAAGATTACTTAATCCTCCACAAGCACTAAAGAGCTCTTTCTTCCATAAAAGCAACAAGAAAAATGGCAGGAAGTACCAACACCAACTCCTCACAGACTATGGAAGTGAACCAAACGTTTGCAGGAAACCAGGGAGGATTTATTCAGGAGAAACAACCAGCCTCACCAAGACCAGCAAGCTGGGTGACATTTTAACTCACCCCTGACTCATCCCCACACTGGCTTCCAGCAGCCTGTTCTCCAGTGCGGCTCGCAGCATCTGTGAGGAGTAGCACTGAGCCAGAGCTCTTTCAAAGCTCTGTTCCAAAGAACAGCCAGGATCCAACCTGTCTGAGGGTGCCTGAAGACCTTGCATGTGAGGCTGTTTCAAAGGACTCAAAACCACCCCCGGACACACACATACATGTATGTACTCTCCCATGGGTGTTTACTGCAAACAACTACATATGAGGATTTGACAAATGAAGAAACAAAAGGAAAAGGTGGGAATAAAATGTCCATTGCAGCTTTGAAAAGCTTTGATATATTCCAGGGCATCTAAAAAGCCACATGAATGTGCAGACTCAGTACACACTCAGGGAAACCTGAGGTGGCCTCAAGTTCTCCTCTATGGCTGACCTTGACCATGAGCAGGAAATGAAGGCTACAGCTAAGCTGAGCGCCGGATGTGCTGAGTTCGGTGGGCACAGGGAGCCCCTCAGCCAGGACCAGCTAACTGCTAAGCTCATCAAGTAGAGAGCTCACTACACACAACAAGAAATATGGATTTACAGAGCTCCTTCAGGAAAGTCATTAAACTCTAACTACCAACAGCAAATAACCACAAGAGAAACCAATTTCAGGGCTGCCACACTGTGTTGTTAAAGCAGCCACCTTTCAACAACTACAAAATACAAGATTTAAGAAACGAGCAAGTGTGACCCATACACAGGGGATAGAAAGCAATCAGCAAAGTCTGTCCCTGAGGACATCCAGACATGGACTTAGTAGAAAGTTCTAGAAATCAGCTATTTTTAAATGTGCTCAAAAAACTAAAGAAAGCCATGTATAAAGAATTAAAGGAAAAAATGAAAATACAGTCTCATAAATGTAGACAGTATCAATAGAGTGATGGGAATTTTTTTATTTAAAGGAACCAAATACAAACTGTTCAAAAGTAACTGAGGAAGAAATGTGAAAAAAAATCAAAGCACTCAAAAGCAGATTCCAGCATTCAGAAAACTTAAAGATAAGTCCATTTAGTTGTCCAATCTGAAGAACAGAAAGAAAAAATAACGAATAAAAATGCATAGCGCCTCGGAAACCTGAGGGACACCAAACACACCAACACCCATGAGATGGGATTCACAGAACAAAGACAGAAAAGGCAGAGGGATACATGAAACAAGAGTGGCTGAAAACTTTCCAAACCTGCCATGAAAAATTCTCCTACACATCAAAGAATTCAATGAATTCCAAGTAGATAAGGACCTAGATCAAGCTGTTGGCAAACCCAAAGACAAGCTGGCTGTGGTGGAGCATGCCTGTAATCCTAGCTACTCCAGAGGCTGAGGCAGGAGGACAAGTCTGAGCTGAGCCTGGGCAACTCAGCACAATTAAAAATGTAAAAGGACTGTGGCTATAGCTCAGTGGCAGAGCTCTGGTCAATTTCTGTGCAAGGCTCTGGTTCAATCCCTAGTAGAGGGCTGGGAGATGACAAAGCAGGGAAAAGCAACTCATCAACCATAACAACAGCTGGTTTCTCTTGAGA